CCAAATTCCAAGCGTCCCAAGTTCCAAGCGTCCCAAATTCCAAGCGTCCAAAATTCCAAGCGTCCCAAATTCCAAGCGTCCTACATTCCAAGCGTCCCAAATTCCAAACGTCCCAAATCCCAAGCGTCCCAAATCCCAAGCGTCCCAAATTCCAAGCGTCCCAAATCCCAAGCGTCCCAAATCCCAAGCGTCCCAAATTCCAAGCGTCCCAAATCCCAAGCGTCCCAAATCCCAAGCGTCCCAAATAAATCTCCCAAATCCCAAATCTCCCAAATCCCAAATCTCCCAAATCCCAAATCTCCCAAATCCCAAATCTCCCAAATCCCAAATCTCCCAAATCCCAAATCTCCCAAATCCCAAATCTCCCAAATCCCAAATCTCCCAAATCCCAAATCTCCCAAATCCCAAATCTCCCAAATCCCAAATCTCCCAAATCCCAAATCTCCCAAATCCCAAATCTCCCAAATCCCAAATCTCCCAAATCCCAAATCTCCCAAATCCCAAATCTCCCAAATCCCAAATCTCCCAAATCCCAAATCTCCCAAATCCCAAATCTCCCAAATCCCAAATCTCCCAAATCCCAAATCCCCCAATTCCCCACTCTCCAACCTCCCTAACCCATCACTCCCCCAATCCCCCAACCCTCAAATCCCCAAATTGACCGCAAAAGCAATAAATCCTTCCAGTATCCAGTACAAAGCATCCAACATCCAAAATGTCCACACGATAAATAAAAAATTTCGCTGGTTTCCGGCGGAAACCGTGTCGATTTAGCTGGAATCTGGAACGTGTCCGTGCAAAATGCATTATCCATCGAACGTGTTCACCTATCCGGCCTCTTTGTCTAGTTAGACGCGTGTGGTACACCCACACGAAGCCACGGTCGTCGCGTCGATACGGTTACCTAATCACACCGGTGCGGTGCTCCATCGTCCACGGCATTGTCTCTCGTTCCTTTACATCGGTGTGCCTTCTATCCACTCTGTCAGGTCCTGGCCGAGTTCAACGACGCGTGAACGCAAACTTTACTCGTTCCATTACATTTTCTACTTGGATAATCCGGTGCAGCTCGAGAGCCTGTTCACCGAGACACGCGGTGTCACGTTCCTCGACTGGTACCTCTGCTACAACGTGCACGCGCGGACCACACCGTTCTACCTTCGTTTTCTGTCTTTAACTGGTACCTCGGCAGGTGATCGCTGTTAGATTCACCCGAAATTTGGTGCTTTTATATTTTTCCTTAGGTCATTTAATTTTGATGATTTGGGATTTTCATGCTTTGGGGGAGTTTCATTTTGGGGACTGGAGATGTGGGGATGGCTGATTTGGGAGTTGGAAGCTTTGCTACTTTAGCGGTTTGACATAATGTAAATTTATTACGTTGGGGGTTGGTCCTTTAGAGAATTATAGATTTAAGAGTTTTGACCTTTTGAGATTTACAACTTTGAAGAGTTTGGAGATCTGCAACTTCAAGGGTTCGGACCTTTGGAATTCTTTCGATTTTAGAAATTTACTGCTTTGGTAGTTTAACACTTTAGAACTTTGCTGCATTCAGAAGTTCATCTTCTGAAGCAAAGTACAATGTTGTACATAGAAAGTAGATCCATGTAAAACTCTCCATAATGAATTATAAGTAAAAGTCATTAATTCTATCATACACGTGTATTTATTCATCACATATATTTATCACATACTTATCATGTAATTAATCAATAATCTCGCGACAAATTTTAGTAAGATAAGAAAGGCTACTATTTAAAAACAAATAAACGATATTATCAGTAATATTTGTCTCGCCAAAGTATCCAGTCCCAACAGACGAACAGAAAGTTCTCTCGGCAAGCATCAAGAGGATTCCTATTATGTTAGCTCGATATCCGCGTTATCCAGCCGGATTAAGCGTATCTCCAATGAAATTGGTACCACTCGCAACATTGAAGCATAACATCAGCTACAATTCTCTCTTTCGTTCTTCCTTTCTCTTTTTCCTCCCTTCGTGGCTTGGCTTCGCTGCCAGCAATAAATATGCTGATTAAGCGGCAACGTAGCGCCGGTTAATTTGCAGTATATCAGTATCCAACAGTGTATTTTAATTGGTCGTGAAGCATTATTGCAACGTATAATCAATGACGCTACGCTTCGACCAAACCTATTAACGCTATAGAGAATTTTTGAAAAACTTCAAGATTCTTCTTGGTGGAACTTCGATGACAAGTCTAATTCCTTTGGGATTTATGTTGGGGAAAGTCTGATTGGAATAGAATTTATCTGCGCAAGGATTTATCGGAAGTTTAATTCTTACTTTTAGGGTTTAATCGAGATCATAGGATGTCTGGTTTCTTTGTGAAAATCGTACAAAATTTTGACAGACAAGAGTTGCTTCAAATTTTCTGCTATTCCCTTCAGCATCTTGTAATTCACTATAGTCTTGTAATTCACTATAGTATGATCACTGATTTCTTCATCAGATTCAAAATCTTTCTAAAATATTCATCGTCACGGTCATAAAATATACTTTATATTTCTGACATTATGGTGTCACAAACACAAGGTTCATCGAAGTACTCTATTAGAACTAATACTAATTGCCTTTACATAAATAGGAACATGTTGAACATCTCAATTTCAACCACCTCATCAATCTGTCATCTTAAGCAAAATATCTTGAGTATCAGAGTATAGGTACATACTCGAGTACCCAAGAGATGAAGGTGTAAAAGAGAGCTCAAATAAATCGACCTTGGCAATCGTTTAAATTACCAAAGTAGCAAGCACAAAGAGACTCTACAGGATGCAAAATCTTGGCGTGTAAAATTTGCAATGCCTCAGAGTTATTAATCTCAACCAAGCACATAACTTAGACTTCAAGACACCGGCCAATCTCGTCGTGGCGAAAACCGATTTCACGCCGATAATTGCAATTATCCATTAGCCGAAGAGTCGCGTATGTAGGTATACTTTGGACAAAGGGAGAACGTGTTCGACTTTAGGATCCTCGAATTGCGAAAGGATGAAAAGTATCGATGATCTCGATTCCTCGGAAAGTGCGACGAC